TTTCGAGTGTAGAATCCAGCGCCCAAGGAATATTTACTTGCTAAATCTCACAGAAAAATCTACACTGAAAAAACATGATTTTTTTCGATTTTCATTACTAAAACCAAAAACTGACTCAACTCCACTAGGTCTAGGAGATGGCTCTTTGAGTGTAGAATCCAGCGCCCAAGAAATATTTTCTTGCTAAATCTCACAGAAAAATCTACACTGAAAAAACATGATTTTTTTCGATTTTCATTACTAAAACCAAAAACTGACTCAACTCCACTAGGTCTAGGAGATGGCTTTTTGAGTGTAGAATCCAGCGCCCGAGAAATTTCTTCTTGCTAAATCTCACAGAAAAATCTACACATAAAAAACATGATTTTTTTCGATTTTCATTACTAAAACCAAAAACTGACTCAACTCCACTAGGTCTAGGAGATGGCTTTTCGAGTGTAGAATCCAGCGCCCAAGAAATATTTTCTTGCTAAATCTCACAGAAAAATCTACACTGAAAAAACATGATTTTTTTCGATTTTCATTACTAAAACCAAAAACTGACTCAACTCCACTAGGTCTAGGAGATGGCTCTTTGAGTGTAGAATCCAGCGCCCAAGGAATATTTACTTGCTAAATCTCACAGAAAAATCTACACTGAAAAAACATGATTTTTTTCGATTTTCATTACTAAAACCAAAAACTGACTCAACTCCACTAGGTCTAGGAGATGGCTCTTTGAGTGTAGAATCCAGCGCCCAAGAAATATTTTCTTGCTAAATCTCACAGAAAAATCTACACTGAAAAAACATGATTTTTTTCGATTTTCATTACTAAAACCAAAAACTGACTCAACTCCACTAGGTCTAGGAGATGGCTTTTTGAGTGTAGAATCCAGCGCCCGAGAAATTTCTTCTTGCTAAATCTCACAGAAAAATCTACACATAAAAAACATGATTTTTTTCGATTTTCATTACTAAAACCAAAAACTGACTCAACTCCACTAGGTCTAGGAGATGGCTTTTCGAGTGTAGAATCCAGCGCCCAAGAAATATTTTCTTGCTAAATCTCACAGAAAAATCTACACTGAAAAAACATGATTTTTTTCGATTTTCATTACTAAAACCAAAAACTGACTCAACTCCACTAGGTCTAGGAGATGGCTCTTTGAGTGTAGAATCCAGCGCCCAAGAAATATTTTCTTGCTAAATCTCACAGAAAAATCTACACTGAAAAAACATGATTTTTTTCGATTTTCATTACTAAAACCAAAAACTGACTCAACTCCACTAGGTCTAGGAGATGGCTCTTTGAGTGTAGAATCCAGCGCCCAAGAAATATTTTCTTGCTAAATCTCACAGAAAAATCTACACATAAAAAACATGATTTTTTTCGATTTTCATTACTAAAATCAAAAACTGACTCAACTCCACTAGGTCTAGGAGATGGCTTTTCGAGTGTAGAATCCAGCGCCCAAGAAATATTTTCTTGCTAAATCTCACAGAAAAATCTACACATAAAAAACATGATTTTTTTCGATTTTCATTACTAAAACCAAAAACTGACTCAACTCCACTAGGTCTAGGAGATGGCTTTTCGAGTGTAGAATCCAGCGCCCAAGAAATATTTTCTTGCTAAATCTCACAGAAAAATCTACACATAAAAAACATGATTTTTTTCGATTTTCATTACTAAAACCAAAAACTGACTCAACTCCACTAGGTCTAGGAGATGGCTCTTTGAGTGTAGAATCCAGCGCCCAAGAAATATTTTCTTGCTAAATCTCACAGAAAAATCTACACTGAAAAAACATGATTTTTTTCGATTTTCATTACTAAAACCAAAAACTGACTCAACTCCACTAGGTCTAGGAGATGGCTTTTCGAGTGTAGAATCCAGCGCCCAAGGAATATTTACTTGCTAAATCTCACAGAAAAATCTACACTGAAAAAACATGATTTTTTTCGATTTTCATTACTAAAACCAAAAACTGACTCAACTCCACTAGGTCTAGGAGATGGCTCTTTGAGTGTAGAATCCAGCGCCCAAGAAATATTTTCTTGCTAAATCTCACAGAAAAATCTACACTGAAAAAACATGATTTTTTTCGATTTTCATTACTAAAACCAAAAACTGACTCAACTCCACTAGGTCTAGGAGATGGCTTTTTGAGTGTAGAATCCAGCGCCCGAGAAATTTCTTCTTGCTAAATCTCACAGAAAAATCTACACATAAAAAACATGATTTTTTTCGATTTTCATTACTAAAACCAAAAACTGACTCAACTCCACTAGGTCTAGGAGATGGCTTTTCGAGTGTAGAATCCAGCGCCCAAGAAATATTTTCTTGCTAAATCTCACAGAAAAATCTACACTGAAAAAACATGATTTTTTTCGATTTTCATTACTAAAACCAAAAACTGACTCAACTCCACTAGGTCTAGGAGATGGCTCTTTGAGTGTAGAATCCAGCGCCCAAGGAATATTTACTTGCTAAATCTCACAGAAAAATCTACACTGAAAAAACATGATTTTTTTCGATTTTCATTACTAAAACCAAAAACTGACTCAACTCCACTAGGTCTAGGAGATGGCTCTTTGAGTGTAGAATCCAGCGCCCAAGAAATATTTTCTTGCTAAATCTCACAGAAAAATCTACACTGAAAAAACATGATTTTTTTCGATTTTCATTACTAAAACCAAAAACTGACTCAACTCCACTAGGTCTAGGAGATGGCTTTTTGAGTGTAGAATCCAGCGCCCGAGAAATTTCTTCTTGCTAAATCTCACAGAAAAATCTACACATAAAAAACATGATTTTTTTCGATTTTCATTACTAAAACCAAAAACTGACTCAACTCCACTAGGTCTAGGAGATGGCTTTTCGAGTGTAGAATCCAGCGCCCAAGAAATATTTTCTTGCTAAATCTCACAGAAAAATCTACACTGAAAAAACATGATTTTTTTCGATTTTCATTACTAAAACCAAAAACTGACTCAACTCCACTAGGTCTAGGAGATGGCTCTTTGAGTGTAGAATCCAGCGCCCAAGAAATATTTTCTTGCTAAATCTCACAGAAAAATCTACACTGAAAAAACATGATTTTTTTCGATTTTCATTACTAAAACCAAAAACTGACTCAACTCCACTAGGTCTAGGAGATGGCTTTTTGAGTGTAGAATCCAGCGCCCGAGAAATTTCTTCTTGCTAAATCTCACAGAAAAAGCTACACTGAAAAAACATGATTTTAAAATGATTTTTTTCGATTTTCATTACTAAAACCAAAAACTGACTCAACTCCACTAGGTCTAGGAGATGGCTTTTCGAGTGTAGAATCCAGCGCCCAAGAAATATTTCCTTGCTAAATCTCACAGAAAAATCTACACTGAAAAAACATGATTTTAAAATGATTTTTTTCGATTTTCATTACTAAAACCAAAAACTGACTCAACTCCACTAGGTCTAGGAGATGGCTTTTCGAGTGTAGAATCCAGCGCCCAAGAAATATTTTCTTGCTAAATCTCACAGAAAAATCTACACTGAAAAAACATGATTTTAAAATGATTTTTTTCGATTTTCATTACTAAAACCAAAAACTGACTCAACTCCACTAGGTCAGGAAGATGGCTTTTCGAGTGTAGAATCCAGCGCCCAAGGAATTTTTTCTTGCTAAATCTCACAGGAAAATATACACGGAAAAAATATGATTTGGTGAAGTATGAATTTTTGGTTTTAGAGTGGTGGAATTGGTGCTCATAGGCAATCAATCTAGCTCCTACAGGCATTGAGAGTTGCATACATTATCGACGGTATTACTGATATTATAATGGTTTGTCATTATATTATGACCAGAAGGGTGGTGGAAAAGGAAGATTATGTAATGTAAATATCAATAATCAAAATCATTGTGTTTTGTATTCATTGTTTTGGGACAATTAGGTATTGCTATTTTCTGTCGGCTCCATCAGTTTCACAGTACCTATAGGTAGGTACATTACCTATGTATAGATAATTAGATATGGCAAAATCAATATGGCAAATTTCCACACCCACCTATATCGAGCATTCAAATCACTCATAAATATGTAAGTGGCATTCGGTATTGCGGAACAGGAAACTCGTCATGGGTCTAATAAGTTTCCAATTTTTTCTATCCCGGCCACAACATAATTTAGGAATTGCCAAGTTCCGTATACCATGTTCAGCGACGAAATTTCTTAGTTTGTTGAGAGACAAAAAAATGGTACGGTAGTCTGGCTTTTCAAAATACTTTTTCTTTGTGACCAGATAAAAAATATACCTTCCATCTCTACAGATGTATGCCAGCCCTCCTGGCCGTTGATTTTGGTGAAGTAGTTGTTCTACTCCGCCGTATCTCTGTCTGAAAAAGAAATACCTATATAAGTAATCCCAATATTATGTCATGGCATTTAAAGAAAATTGTTGTTATATCTTCAGTTTTCTCTCACTTGAAGGCTGCTGCAATTCCTTTCGACATTTTAAAATCGCTGGACACACAATGTGCCAGCGCAAAATGTCCTGGTGCAGAAAAGAGATCGCCATTCGTTATGGTGAAGTTGTTAAAAAACGCTTTCTTTTTGTAGAATAATCTCCACCACAATCCCCATTCGTCGTCAACATATTTGGCTGGCACAAAATTTTGTCTCCTAGACCTATAATTTAAAAGAAGGTATAACGTTTCAATACAATACAAGTGGCGAATGAAAATTATACAGGTATGTATATGCTCACATTCTGGTAGAACGATCAAAACACTAATGGCAAAGGAGAAATAATCGAGAAATGAAAATAACAAACTGAAAAGAATGGAAACACCGCTAGGGAATATATATTATATACATATATAAGTTCGGTCACTCCTTCGATGTGCTCGAAAAGGCGGCATTTCTTGCGACCGAAGGGGGGGGGGGGATTTTCGGCGCCAAGCGAGAGTGGCCGGACTTGACGACTTGCCGCGGTAGGTGAGTTATATCATCAACGCATGCGCGTGTCAATCAGGAGTATCAATCTTAGACATCGTAATATTTTTGTATACATTTTAACTTTCAACTACGACAAATGGCGTTGTATGGAGATCACCCTAATGAAGTGAATTTTAGAATATTATGTTCTTACAAAGCTGGAGTAAGAGAAGAGCGGCGCACACCTTGATTGCTCGAATGCGCCTGCTGTACGGCTGTACCGCTGTGTCATCACTACCATCTGCATCTAAATATCAATTTCCAGTACCTATCATTTGTCATGCTATATAAATTGCAAGTTATTATTAGGTACCTGCCAGATTCTAGAGAAATCCAATGTATGTGACTCAGTTACTCAAATTTATCGTGATTCGAATTAACCGCTAAAGCCAAAATCGTCCTGATTGGTCTAAATGCCTGCCTATGGACCGTTTCGGGTAAATCTGAATTCGTGCATTTCATCTCACCGTAAGTTCGTTTACCGCGCGAGCATCATCCTTGAGTAGTTAGTTGAACAGTTTATGGTGTTGCCACGTTTCAAATTCCGTTTTGAAAACGGAAAGGACACAAAGCCAGTTCAGATTTTATATATTTCAGGTTTTGGGTGCTAAATTTCATTGTCATTGGAAATATATGGGAATCTACATCCTCGTAATTTGAATTTGATTGCAATGTCAATGAAAATTGAGGTGATTGAGTGGCATGACAAAAAAGTTACGATGAACAGAAAGAGGAAGCCACATATTGAATAATAATTCGATATATAAATACTATAGGCGTATCGAGAAGAACGTATCAAACTCTCGAAACATAGAAACATTCAGAAATTCTCAAATGACTTATTCCAAATTTTATTTACTTCAAAGATGACGGGTGTCGAAGTGAATGTTTTTTTGAATTGATAACGATACATCAACTCACAATACATTACTTTGCTGCCTATATATAGGTACTCACCTATATTTTTTTTATGTTTGCTTTTATATATATCTTTGAAAGTGGTGCTACCTATATTCGAGAATAGCTCAAGCCTTTACTGAATTATAGAACATAAAGTAAGTTTTATTATGATATGTATTTTGTTTATAACCAAATTAACCAATACACTAAACACACATTGATGAAGACGGCTTATGATTGAGATCACTTTTACCATCAGATGTTTCGACTTGTTTCAATGGACCTGTTTTAGTGAAAAGATTTATTTCATTAATTTGAAGTACTAACCCAGCCTAGTTTACTGCCACAAAACGTTTTCTTCTAAGAGCTCAGTACATTTTTTTTAAAATTATTGAAAATCACGATATTTCATAACATGAAAAACGCAGGACAACGCATGACGACATAGATAACGCGATCAATTCAATGCAACTATTTACAATACGACTTAGATATTGTGAGTATCTCGGAGTATAATCCTGCGGTGGAAGTGTATTCCTATTGTTATGTGGAACGTGAATATAAGTTCATTGATTATTTGTGATGATTTTGAATAATTATGACCGTATCGAATACCTATACTTTCAATACACATGGAACGTACAATATGAAATATGTTTGTGGCGTAAATTCGACTAGCGTGTACAACCCCATTGGCAGATTTCAGGGTCATCAGATGACGCTGCGATGACATTTAGCAATAGGGAAAAACATTTCTCCCTCGAGTCGTAGATAGAGAGATCTCGCTCGCTTGTGCATGCTGTGGCAACGCTGCACATGAATAGTGGGAGAATTTGACCGCCTAGCAACAACATGACTTCATATCTCAGTTTGTTTTCCATTTCGCTCTCGCTGAGTGCCAACTCCCGCCAATTTGCATTCGGAGGAGAAATAAGGAGAAATTGTACTCGTCTCTCTCTATTTAATACCATCATCGTCTTCGTTTTTTATCGCGGGGGTAATAGAGGCAAATCGCATGACTTGTTCTATACGAATACGGTTTATCGAATATTATGTTTTTACGATATACCTCCCTACCAAATTTTGTTCTAGCATATTATGATAATGGCAATGAATGCACCTACCTAATCAATAGTCGAATGTTAGGATTCCCAATTTTCTGCACTAGGTATTCATACCTACCATAACATTAAATTAGAATAAGTTGCCTCATTTTTGTGGAGCTAATTCAAAATGTTTTGTCACAATATCTAATAATTTTTTATGCCGAAGAACAAAAAATGCTGAAAATATTGTGCAGAATGGGAGAAAAATGTGATAAATGATTTAAATCAGAACCGAATTTAGGAAATATGCATTGACGATGGATTATCTGAGTTGAATTGTTGAACAATATACAGAAATGATTCCTATGCATTGTTGTTTTAGGTAGGTATAAAGCATGTTCATTATTTTGCGCGAATCTTCCCTACACGTAGGTATCTCGTCATAGTCGTAGGATACCCCTGATATTGTTTTATGTCGTCGCTAACCAATCACGATCATATGGGACAGCCCCCACCAAAAATCTACTGATTTTTCAACTTCTTGGGAATTTGAGGTTTGATTTGTAACCACATCAGACAACTTTGGGTATTGTTATGTTCAAGTTGTGTTTTGCTAATCTCTCTGTGTGTTTCGAAAGAATATAACTCAGGGTGAGCTGTATCATTTTGATTCATTATCTTCATTATTCATATTACCATAGTACTTTTCAGTACTGTCAATTTATTATTGCCATTAATAATTTTTTATTCAATATATACCTGTAGGTGTTACGGTGAATACGGATTAGATTTAAGCATCTCAAATTTAGATAAGAAGAAATCATGGTAGGCGCTAGCAAAAATATCGCGTTATTGGAAAAAATTGCCAAAGCAATCTTGATGTTTGATCCTGGTTGTACTTTTGCTTCAGTTGTCGGTTTCGCGCCCAATCATGCAATTTTTGTTTATATTTGTAATAATATCAAAATCAAGACACTAAAATATCCTAGCCAAGTATACAGGCAAATTCATCGAAATAAATCGGAATTTGAATATATAATTAACACGGTTGCTCGCGGAGATAAATACACTAATGAAAGAAAGTTAAGAATGATTAAAATATTGAAGGACACTGACATGAAATGCCACCAATCGAAATATTCAGCTTTCGCGAACGTTTGTCAAAGTTTGGGTTTGAACCCTAAAAATGTTCATAATAGGAGGAGAATGTATCATTATCACGCAAAACACTGTGAATGTGCCGGATATGATCAAGAAGTACTGGAATGCCATAATGAGAAACCTGATTATGAAAATAAGGAACCTTCATTTCAGTTTGATGAGCCTGAATCTTATGATGAAAATGAGGGCTGTAAATCTATTACTAACGGCGATACTAGTAGTGGAAACCAATATGCTATGTGCTCGACTCCTGTTAACACCGATTTGCTTCCTAGCAAGAGAGCACGGTTCGATATGAGCACGATAAACATCAGTGATCACGTACCAGTTCAATCTTACGAACAGTCAATAATTACGAATCAGAATGACATCAAGTCACTATTTTCAGACGAACAGGTACATAACAGTGATAATAAAAATGATGATGATGATAACAATAATTTACAAGGTAGAGGATTCGAGATAACGCCTGAAAGTTTCAACATACCGAAAGGCTTCAATTTATCCGATTCGAACACTAGTATAGTTCTCCCAGTGAATTCACTTAATGTAGATTCACTTCCTCCAAGTTCCTATAAACAATGCACTATTTTGGAGGGATCTTTTCAGATAAAAAACGAATACTTCGATTACATTATAAAGGAGAACCGTTTGATTAATGAATACTATCCATCATATTTCCGAAATCGCCTAAAAAAATTCGTCAACAATGTTTGTACCATTGCGATAAAATATCGTAAATATCTCAAAGACGGATCTATTAAAATTTTTGCAATTTGTAAAAACAATAATTATCGTTGTAAGAAATTCAAAATCATCATTCGCGGACACACTGTTGTCGTTTATTCAAGTTCAGTGAATTTTTGTCATCCCAATAAAATAACTTTTCATGTGAAAGGTATTGAACGGTCGATCGTGAAAAATAAAGTATTACATAAGAAGCCGTCCGAATACAAGCGACAATCAATTTTATCTGCCAAATTACGCATCATAGAATCGGGTAACCTACAGGACATAAAATCGGATTGTACTTTGAGAAAAATTAAATCGGAAGCGGAATCTCATTGGGATAGGGACCAACATGATTTGTTGGATTTATGTAAGATGCAAGAAGAACATGACGAATATATAAAACAAGTATCTATGCCCTTCAATGTAAAAGTGTTCAGTAAGGAACAATTCGAAGTTCTTGATCGAAGCGGCGGTGATATTTTACCAGTAATTTTTTTTGACGCAACGGGTAGTATCGTTCGGAAGCCTACGACGAAAACAAAACGAGTTTATTTGTACAGTGCCGTTTTACCCATTAATTCCGGTCGCATATTCCCAATATTCGAAATGATTTCGGGTTCTCATTTCTCTAAGACGATTTTTACGATTTTTCACGACTTTCGAGTTTTCTGCGAAGAACAGAATAACAAATGGCCGGTTTTCGGTGCTGTCGTCACTGATTTTAGCTTCGCTAATATACATGCTATTTGCAAGGCTTGTAATAGAATCAATCTTTTAGAATACCTTGACGTTACATTCAAAATTGCATTTGATAAAGTTGTTCTTCCTGAAAATATAGTTACTATACATTTATGTTGTGCGCATTTAATGAAGAATTTCAGTAAAGATATAAATGAGTGTTTCACAGATTATGAAGTGCGGGAATTTTATAAAGACGTCATGGCATCGGTGATCAATATGGAGTTGTTCAATGATATCGAAGATTGCTTTCAGAGTATGAGTGTATTGTTACTTAGTCCGGTTACAACTAAAATTGTTCGCGAACATCTAAATATTCTATTGAGATCGAGAAACGATCATTCAATCGATCTTGACATCAAATTTCGCGAGTGTGATATTGCATCAAGTGAACACGTATATGAAAATGACGGGAAACGTGGATTGCATAAATCTAGTATATTTTATGTTCATTTCTATAAATTATTTGAGAAAATGAGCGAAATTCATAAATTCTCTTCCTGCATTGAAGGGCCTACTAATAAATATTATAGTCAGAAATTTTTTGATTTGCTTTTGTCAAAATACTTACCATTTTGTCCCCTCTGGACTGGCGTAATTTTGAGAAAACGAAGAGCTGAGCTTCACTTCAGCAATTCTTATGTAGAAAATTATTTTGGTCACCTTAAAAATAATGTTTTGAACGGAAATAAAAATCTCAAGTGTTCTAGGTATCTCAGGAAGAGCAGAGAAAATGTACTCGCCTTATATAAAGAATTCATATGTAATATTCCTAAAAATAGGTTAACGAAACAAAGTAAAAGAAAAATCGATCCCGCGAATGAGCATTCGGCTCAAGAAACATGGAACAAAAAAGCTAAGAAAGTATCAGGTACGCATTTTGCAGGAATTTTTCTAAAAAAGTTGAGTTCTTTGAAAGAAGCGGAAAATGGAAAAATGGAAACTGATAACGATAATGAAGATAATAAGTGTGAAGAACTGAATTTATGTTCGCCAATAGTTATTGATAATATTGACAATAATAATCATGATAATAATAGTTATAATAATGATGATACATTAACAGAAAAATGTTTGTATTGTGGATTCGGTCGTCTCGATACAACTACCGATTGGGTAGCTTGTGACTCCTGTCGACGATGGATTCACGTGACATGTGATCCTTCGTTCGGAGATAAAACTTACAGCGGATCTTTTTTGTGCGAGAAGTGTTTTTCAGTGAATAAAAAATCAGATGAAACTAGGATATATAAATGTATGTATTGCGGCTTAGGTGATCTCGATAATACTGCGAAATGGGTAGCTTGTGATAATTGTGATGGATGGATCCATCAAATTTGCGATAGTTCAAATCATTCGTATAGCGGTAATTTTTATTGTAAACTTTGTTCAAATAACTTGAAATCAAGTTGCGAGGCGGCATTGTGTAAGTTAGACGAAGAGAAAATTCAAAGGGATTCGATTGAACGAAAAACTAGAGGTCAACGGGAGTCAGCTATGTGGTTCGCGGAAAGGAGAAAACGGATAACAGCGTCAAATTTCGGAACAATTTGCAAAGCAAGAAGTCACAAATCGAAATTAAATATCGCGAAATCATTAACATCATCTAAACATTTTGTTAATGAAGCTATGAAGCATGGCATCGATAGTGAAAAGTTAGCGCTCGACGCGTTCATCAATCAAACGGGATATAAATACGAAAAGTGCGGACTAGTTATTCATGAAAATTATTCATTTTTAGCAGGTTCCCCAGACGGACTTTTGAATGGGGACGGTATTATTGAAATTAAATGTCCTTACAAAGTGCGCGAATGTGATCGAAATGAAACATTAAGGAATCTAGATGATATCGATAATAACGGGAAATTAAAAGTCACTTCGAAATATTATTATCAAATACAGGGTTTGCTAGAGGTAACTAATAGATCGTGGTGCGAATTTGTAGTGTATACTTTCAAAGGAATTCAGTTTACAGAAAAGATTTTTAAACGGCCAGACTTTTTCAGGAATATCATGTTAAATAAGTTGAAAGAATTCTTTTTTTACTATCATCTTCCTACTTTTCTCAATTTCGGGGATATCGACGAGATCTCGCGTAAATGGAGGCCAGTAAAAGATATGGAATTTTTATCGAATGGGCTAGTGAACGATATAAATTATTATAAAAAGAGTAACAGAGATTACGTAGTCGCGACATTTAAAGAATTTGATTGTTTTAATCAGATAAATATATCTGATTTCGCTTCCCTCGATAATGGGAAGTGGTTGACGAATTTCGTTATAGATATAACTTTAAATTTGTTGAATTCGGATAATAAATATCAGATAATACCTCAAGAAATCGCTAATGTAATTTTCAGTCCTGATGAACTTTCAGAATCATTTCTAAATAGAATATCTTTACATAAGAGTCATCTCGCGATACCGTTATTAATCAATCAGAATCATCACTGTCTTATTATCATCGATTTTATTGAATTAACTTTCGCTTTTATGGATCCATTCAATAGTAACGCGGAAAAAACAGCATCATATCTTGAACTATTCAAAAAATTCGCGGAAGCGTATAATCAGGTTAAAAATGTTCCAATTGCCATAGATTTAAATGTAATTGTCTATAAGCATGCCGTGCAGAAAGATAGTTTCAATTGTGGAATGTTTTGTATTAAATTTTTTGAGTGTATTTTGAACGGGAGTGATAAGACGAGGGCAACAAAAATGGAACAATATAGGAATGAAATCAAGTATCTAATTCTCAATAGATCTGATGATGTGTGGAATCGGTGTTTGATATGTTCGCGCATTGGTGATCGGAACGAATCAAATAATTGCGCCAATTGCAAGAGATTGGTTCATAATGAGTGCCTATCTGTCGGTGCAGAATCATTCATAAATCAAAATGTTTGTCGACTTTGTGCCCAATATTTTATTTGAAAACGAATTGCGATTCACGATTTTCATGTGGTTTGCGATATAGATACTGTTTTTGATGCGGTCGAACCTTTACTTTCTTAGTACGGTATGCGTCTGTCTATAGCGGTATATTTCTGGAGGAAGGGTAAGGCTGTGTGGGGAGAGAGGAGGCCTTTTGCAGAGATGAGGTGATGATCTTCATCTCTGTCTTAATGCGGTTTTCATGCGGTTGCGGTATGAGTAAACGGTTGCGGTGTGCGGTATGCGGTACTTGGCTTCATGAGACGGCATATTTCTGGAGGAAGGGTAAGGCTGTGAGGGGAGAGAGGAGGCCTTTTGCAGAGATGAGGTGATGACCCTCATCTCTGTCTTAATGCGGTTTTCAGGCGGTTTTCATGCAGTTGCGGTATGAGTAAACGGTTGCGGTGTACGGTATTTTTTTTATCGCTTGGAGCGCACGAAAGGAAATCCCTATAATGTTCAACGAACATCGTGCGGTACTTGGCTTCATGAGACGGCATATTTCTGGAGGAAGGGTAAGGCTGTGAGGGGAGAGAGGAGGCCTTTTGCAGCGATGAGGTGATGAGCCTCATCTCTGTCTATTAGCATAGCATATTGGTGTGGGATGATAGGGCTACTGGCGAACTACCCACTAATCAAAAAAATGTAACGCTTCCATGTCCGAGCTGATTGGTGTAAGTACATCCTTTCCAGTTTTATTTTCTCAGTGAATCTATGTTCACTGAATTGATGCACTTATGGAAAACTACAACAGCTCAGGCTAGGCAATACCTCAGGGGTGGTTGTGGAAATTTGCCATTGATCTAAAGATTGTAAAATGACTGAAGCCGAGATAAACTGAAAATGTATACCTATATTATGTCTATGTAAAACAAACGATATTTGATAATATGAGTATAGGTATATCGTACGATGTTCCACAAACATGATGGGAATTCCCTTTCGCGCGCTCCGCAAGATGAAAACTAATGTGTTTTGTATTCCTATATGTTCAATTATTTATAAATACATTATGATACAGAGTGTTCCTTGAATAGATGCTAATATTCAAGGGGGTGATTCTTTGACTAATTTTAAGAAAAAAACTTCCTATGAACGTATGTCCTAAAAGTCTCAACTTTTGAGATTCAAGGTGATAATTATTTTAATCAAGACAAGAACAGAGCATCTGAAAAGAAAAACATATGTTCAGAATTCTCATTACTTTTGGAACAAATCTGATATCTTAATTTGCTTTCAGTCGATTCACAAACATTTCCACACCGCATCATATTTTTGAGGAATTGATCCTGAAGTGAAACAATTTTTTATTTTTCAAGCGAAAACCATGCGTCAAGCAGTGGCGTAGTATTTTTCTTTAAAAAAACCTGTACGGACGCCACTGGCAGAAAAAAAATGCTGTAAAGACTTTCAGGACATACGTTCATAGGAACATTTTTTCTCATAATGAGTCAAAGAATCACCCCCTTGAATATTAGCATGTCTTTACACCCTGTATAAGTGAGCAGGTACCTATATAATATACACTGCGTTCATAAAGTGTGGAAACGCTCCATTATCTTACGATAGAATTATTTTCAGAGGTAAAGCTCGGACAGGTCGATTTTGTATTTCTTTTATAAAGATGGAAGACTGAAATACAAAATCGACCTATCCGAGCTTTACCTCTGAAAATAATTCTATCGTAAGATAATGGAGCGTTTCCACACTTTATGAACGCACTGTGTACGCCTATTAAAATCCAATATCATTACAGGTGCTTTGGGGAATGCTAGAAGAAGTGAGAGTGGAGATTTAACTCACACAAAGTCAGATGATGAGAAAAGGAGGAGAGGAAAGTGCCAGAGAAACCGCTAAATATATATTTCTTACTCATCTGATAGAGAGAATGGCCCACCAAGACGTCGGTTGTGATGTTAATCAAATATTGGATCAACAAATTTTCAGGAAATTCACCTCGACCGGAAGTAGGTTGTAACGGAATGTTTCACGTTCCGTCAACTAATTTTGCCCCATTGCCTTACTACGCCCATGGTTATTCGTTTCGAAACAGCGCTACGTTCAGCCGAATATGTAACTACAGGTGATTTCATCTCGCTTCCACTAGTGCAATGGAAGGGTTCATCTCTCTTCTCGAAAAATGGATATTGAAAATTTTTGAAGACATTGGAAATCGAATTCGGAATTCCTGCGAATCCTGCGACGCTCTCTTCCTGCTTGGCTTCATCTGAAGATTTGTGAGGTGAGGTGTTTCCATTTATCTAAATTTGTAATTGTTCTTTACTGTCTCTCAATATCTTCATTTTGTCTGCTTTATCTCAAGGTACCTTAAAGGATTTTGTTTACTTCCAGGAATTGATAGGCAAGTAGCAAACTCTTGGAAGGTCCCGCCAAGGCATTTTGCTTTGGTTTTGGTGAAGCCATAAGCTATTATCTGATATTTTTGTTATCTGAAGTTATCTTCGAATATCTTTTTAATCATTGTGTTAAATGAATTGAATTTATCTTTCAGAAATTTATTGTTGATATACGAATTTTCCGTATTCTTAATTTCTATTTCTCTTACATATCTTTTGAGGGACTGTGAAGTGGCTTTTAATTCGCTGATACCTCGCTTAAACACATTTATTGCATAGTTTCTTTGTAGGTCATCCTGAAAAGTTGAAATTCATTTGGAAATTGTCACAAAAATACTCGAATTTGAGGTATTCTAGGACACATTCTGGACAACATCTTGGTTAACTATCTACATTTAGAATTTGGTTCACTCAAGGAAGGACAGAAGGAATCATTGGTGACCAGGCCATTCCAGTAATCTGAGTTCAGGTGAGTATAATGTGCATTTATCTATCTATAGATGTCAATTTGAGAGTGCAAATAATACACCTGTACTGTATTTCGACTCGATACTTAGGTAGTCTTCTAGTTCTCTAGCCATGGAAAATAATATTTTTTACCTTCTGGATATGATAAATTTTCATAAGAAATCCACTATTTTCACTCATTCTCTGATAAATTGATGATTTGTATAACTCACTATAGAGAAATCAGAATTTCTCGTTTACCTCTATATGAAAGATTTTTTTGAATTGAAGTTCAATTAAGCTTTACTATATTATCTCAAGGGATAGAATATTTCTATGAAGGATTTGATTAAGTCAAATTTAAATTAAACTTCACAATTTGATGTTTCAAGGAATAGAATTATAGTATATTCTTACACCTTGTTATATACCTAGGAAATAAAATATCCAGGTGGATAATTTTCTTTTTGTAATACTGACTCCTTGTGAGAAGCAGTTTAACGTGATTCCTTGAATTTATTTCCAATTATTGATTGAAGTGTTAGATGAATTTGTACCTAAACTGAACCAGATAGATCATATTGTTTATCTTTTACCCTGTGGTAACGCATATACTGCTGTAGATATTTTCTCCACAGGAACAACAAGAAAACCTACTCCATTCAGGAATGAAGCAAAGTTGGAGACTGAAATTGTTTATGAGCCGCTTCAGAATCTAAAACCTCACTTCACAGAAGCCTATAGTCACGAAGCTTGGCAAGCCGTAATCCAAGAGCTCTGCATCCTAACTAAGAATAAGGAAATGAAGTCAACCTGAAGGTGGGCCCATGTTACCTGAGAACTCACTTCGAGGAGGTCATATCTATAAGGCAGCTAGTTCGAAACCAGACAGAAGAATAATTCTGCATACCAACAAGAGCAAAAAAAATCTTTATGAGACATTGATTTTGGTCAATAAATTCATGAGTTCTGTTATTTGACATAGAAATCATTTCTCCTAATTCTAGTAAATTTTGTAAAGTTACTGTAAATAATATCATTTGTTGGGACCTTGGTCATCCAAATATTTGTAAATATAAAAATGAGTACGAATCTGAGGATCTTTTTTTTCTATTAGAGAACACACCATTTGAGGTGATAATTTCTAGTCCCCAAGAGGTAATATTTTTTGTGATTTTTTTGCTCTCTTATTTGAAAAGATCTTAACATCTCTTTTTCGAGCACTTCAATTGAACTCATCCATTAGTAGTTGAAACAACAAAACCTTTAAACCAATCCATCAGTTGTAAATGGTTGTGTCCATCATACTGGGTATGGAGAATTCAGAAGGCTTTTATTTTCAAATTCTCATTTTAGGTGAGTTATTGTAAGTGAGCCAGGAAAGAATATACGTAGTTGTTTTCTGAGAGGAGGCTAGTGTTCAATAATTCATAATGAAATTTATAGTTATAACATTATTTCTAATTTTTTATATCACTGTGCTAGAACAAGGATATGACAGCTAGGTAACATAACGTGGATTTATCCAGCAAGATTTAACAATAATTATCAATTAACAACCAGCAATCATAAAAATTGAACAATCAGTTTTCGATTACTGTGTTTATACAGACAAAAAATCCGGTCTTCAATTTTGATCACTCCCCCTGACCTAGTGGAGTTGAGTCAGTTTTTGGTTTTAGTAATGAAAATCGAAAAAAATCATGTTTTTTCAGTGTAGATTTTTCTGTGAGATTTAGCAAGAAAATATTTCTTGGGCGCTGGATTCTACACTCAAAGAGCCATCTCCTAGACCTAGTGGAGTTGAGTCAGTTTTTGGTTTTAGTAATGAAAATCGAAAAAAATCATGTTTTTTATGTGTAGATTTTTCTGTGAGATTTAGCAAGAAAATATTTCTTGGGCGCTGGATTCTACACTCGAAAAGCCATCTCCTAGACCTAGTGGAGTTGAGTCAGTTTTTGGTTTTAGTAATGAAAATCGAAAAAAATCATGTTTTTTATGTGTAGATTTTTCTGTGAGATTTAGCAAGAAAATATTTCTTGGGCGCTGGATTCTACACTCGAAAAGCCATCTCCTAGACCTAGTGGAGTTGAGTCAGTTTTTGATTTTAGTAATGAAAATCGAAAAAAATCATGTTTTTTATGTGTAGATTTTTCTGTGAGATTTAGCAAGAAAATATTTCTTGGGCGCTGGATTCTACACTCAAAGAGCCATCTCCTAGACCTAGTGGAGTTGAGTCAGTTTTTGGTTTTAGTAATGAAAATCGAAAAAAATCATGTTTTTTCAGTGTAGATTTTTCTGTGAGATTTAGCAAGAAAATATTTCTTGGGCGCTGGATTCTACACTCGAAAAGCCATCTCCTAGACCTAGTGGAGTTGAGTCAGTTTTTGGTTTTAGTAATGAAAATCGAAAAAAATCATGTTTTTTCAGTGTAGATTTTTCTGTGAGATTTAGCAAGAAAATATTTCTTGGGCGCTGGATTCTACACTCAAAAAGCCATCTCCTAGACCTAGTGGAGTTGAGTCAGTTTTTGGTTTTAGTAATGAAAATCGAAAAAAATCATGTTTTTTCAGTGTAGATTTTTCTGTGAGATTTAGCAAGTAAATATTCCTTGGGCGCTGGATTCTACACTCGAAAAGCCATCTCCTAGACCTAGTGGAGTTGAGTCAGTTTTTGGTTTTAGTAATGAAAATCGAAAAAAATCATGTTTTTTCAGTGTAGATTTTTCTGTGAGATTTAGCAAGAAAATATTTCTTGGGCGCTGGATTCTACACTCAAAGAGCCATCTCCTAGACCTAGTGGAGTTGAGTCAGTTTTTGGTTTTAGTAATGAAAATCGAAAAAAATCATGTTTTTTCAGTGTAGATTTTTCTGTGAGATTTAGCAAGAAAATATTACTTGGGCGCTGGATTCTACACTCGAAAAGCCATCTCCTAGACCTTGTGGAGTTGAGTCAGTTTTTGGTTTTAGTAATGAAAATCGAAAAAAATCATTTTAAAATCATGTTTTTTCAGTGTAGCTTTTTCTGTGAGATTTAGCAAGAAGAAATTTCTCGGGCGCTGGATTCTACACTCAAAAAGCCATCTCCTAGACCTAGTGGAGTTGAGTCAGTTTTTGGTTTTAGTAATGAAAATCGAAAAAAATCATGTTTTTTCAGTGTAGATTTTTCTGTGAGATTTAGCAAGAAAATATTTCTTGGGCGCTGGATTCTACACTCAAAGAGCCATCTCCTAGACCTAGTGGAGTTGAGTCAGTTTTTGGTTTTAGTAATGAAAATCGAAAAAAATCATGTTTTTTCAGTGTAGATTTTTCTGTGAGATTTAGCAAGAAAATATTTCTTGGGCGCTGGATTCTACACTCGAAAAGCCATCTCCTAGACCTAGTGGAGTTGAGTCAGTTTTTGGTTTTAGTAATGAAAATCGAAAAAAATCATGTTTTTTATGTGTAGATTTTTCTGTGAGATTTAGCAAGACAAAATTTCTTGGGCGCTGGATTCTACACTCGAAAAGCCATCTTCCTGACCTAGTGGAGTTAGGTCAGTTTCTTGTTATACTGAAAATTTAAAAAAACATCATGTTTTTTCTCGTGTATAATTTCTTATGAGATTCAGAATTTAGCAGTGATATATATAATTCTTTGACTGCTGGAATCTAGACACGACTCTCAGTACTAGTGGTGATAGATTAGTTCATGATTGAAGTATTGAAAATTCAAAGAAAGTACCTTTCTATATGCCTGTAGAATCTTGTTAAACTATTTGAATTCTTTTTCTGATCGTTTACTTCATTTCATCACTTATTTTTATCTATCTCGAAAGAATTCAAACATCTCTCTTAATTGACAATATTTAATGTGTGTAAAATAAGAGTATACAATCATAATTGATGTTTCATCCCCCGACGACTGTAAACAGCATCCTCGATTACTCATTCGGAGTCTCGAAATGAATCCGCATTCGACCCGTTCGGCAAATATGTAACAGCTGATACAAATATAAAGCACCGCGTTACCCTAAAAGGGGGGAAAATAGCGCGCGCCACTGGCTAGCGCAATCGGAAGTGTTCGGAAATTTGGCCGCTCACTCTGGCTGCCAGCTTCACACAGGTTAATGAATTATAGTTTGAACCACATAGCTCAACAACAAGTTCAGATTTTTGTTACACCACTGAGTTGTAGTGTTTGAGTATGTTCATTTCATTTCATTGATGATTTTCTTGATCATGTTTTTCCTTCCTCAGAATTTTTAGTTTCTTGAAAATATGACTAAAATATTCCAATGGTTGGCAGTGAGAACAAAAAGCATAGGAGGTTGATTAGTTGGCAATGTGTATACACTTCCTAATTTTATCTGCACCCTGTTTTTCTTGAAAAAAATCTTTGCATATAGGTGATCACAAAAAGAGAGCTTCTGACCCAACTAAATTTTTCATCAACTTAAAACAAAACGTATTTTGCAATTCTGAGATTTCCACTCACCTGATGCACACAAATTAGTATGTAGGTATTTCCAATATCCCAATATGAGCAACAAATAAATCAACAGAAGTAGAGACCAAAGTTGAGAATATTCATCATTTTTTACACATTTTCACTTTTTCATTTTCATTTTTGCAGAATCAGGACTATCAGCAGTTACAACGTAGAATAGTAATAAAAGAACGGCAAAAGGCCAAAATGCTAAAACCAAACTAATCCTAAACTTTTTTCAAAACCAAGCCATGAA